GTATCAAGAGAAATACTACTACCAGCAATTGATCTTAGATGTTTGAACCATCACTTAAAATTTCCACTTATGACAACATTTTAAAGTTTCCTCCAAAATTTTTTTTGGGTCTTGTTACTAGAGTCAGAATATAACATGAGGTCTAAACTCCTGACAACTTTTTAATGGGAAAATTACAGTATTACAAATTGAGCATCCCACATCTAGAAATCCAAAATCTGAAATGCTCCAGAATCCAATGCTTCTGACCACTGATGTGATGCTGAAAAGATGTTCTCACTGGAGCATTTTGGATTTCAAATTTTTCAGATTTGGGATGCTAAACCAGTACATCTACTGCAAATATTCCAAAATAAAAAAAGAAGTTAGAAATTCAAAACACTTGGTTTTAAACTTTCTGCATAAGGAACTCTTTATCTGTATGAACTATAGGCATGAAGCTGTACGGGAGATCTCTAGAACCTCCTCAACCTGCCTAACTGAAACCACACAGCTATGGAACAATGCCCTATTCCCCCGACTCCAGCTCCTGGAACTACTATTCTACTCTCTGATTCACTCTGGAATCCACTGAGATGAGGTACATCGAGTAGTCAAACTCATAGAATCAGAAAGTAGAATGTCTAATGACAGAAAGATTCTGCAAGACTTCTTCCCAAATATTGTTCTAATAGCCACCAAACACAAATCATCCATGAAGGCCAGACTTCCATCATCAGTTCATGTTCGCCCTTTCCACCAGTCAGTTCTCAATTTTCACACATCCACATGTATTTCTAGAAACAACCACATGGTCCTCACCTTCCCTCTACAGGGGGAAGGGAACATCATGGACACAAAACAGGGAACATGGTCCTGGTCCAAAGCTATCAGCTCTTGCCTGTCCCCATCACTCTTTGGTCATTCCTTGGACTCTACTCTATCTTTAGAGGTCACTGGCTCAAGTCAGTCACTATGAGACACCTGGGAAAACTGCCCCACCTTGTGGCGCCACTGCCTGATGACTGCACTGACCCCCAGGCTTGACTCTGGTCTCCCCTGTGTTTTTTCTGCTGAAGTACCCAGTACCAGGCCAGGCTTCCCAGTACCCAAAGGGTTTAAGGACAATGGGAAGTTCTATCATCCATCTCTAGGATGTTCTTGAAAGGGAAGCTGCAGATAAAACATATCTTGGGGGGCAAAGTAAGACTGAAACTAAGAAGATTCCAGCACTGCATGCTCCAGGTGAGGACCACAGGGTGGGCCAGGCAGGCAGTTGGAGACGGAGGGACTCAGAGGGGCACTAGGGACTCTGACTGCTGGTCCCATGCCTTTCCATGACCCAATACTGCTGCTCAATTCACACTTGAGAAAGTCTGTGCTTCTCTCATATGAAGCAGGCAGCCTCACAATCTCTGAGCCCTCAGATTGCCATGCGTCTGTCTTGTAACACACACACCTGATATGGGCTTTTAAGGGCTTGGGTGGGCTGAAAGGTGGGAAATGCCATCTCTGATTGAAAAATGTCTTTGGAGGAATCAAAGGTGCCAAACAGGGCAATCTTCTCTCTGTTATCTGCACAGTGGAGACTCCCAAGCCCTCCATCAGCAGCAGCAACTTAAACCCCAGGGAGGGCATGGAGACTGTGACCTTATCCTGTGATCCTGACACTCCGAACGCAAGCTACCTGTGGTGGATAAATGGTCAGATCCTCCCTATCAGTCCCAGGTTGCAGCTGTCCGAAAACAACAGGACCCTCATTCTATTTGGTGTCACAAAGCGTACTGCAGGACCCTATCAATGTCAAATGAAGAGCCCAGTGAGTTCCAGCCGCAGTGACCCAGTCACCCTGAATCCCGTCTGTGAGTATCTTCTGTTCCTCTGTGAGCCAGGCTGCCATCCCAAATACACATGGCCAGAGGCCACGCCTCCCAGTCCCTCTCGGGTGCAAGTACAAAGACCATTACCCCTGGACATCAAAGTTGGCCATGACCATAAAGAGTAGCCTTAGGCTTGACCAACAATGGGAGAGAAGGGCTGCTCCTGTCATGGGAGATTCAGGAACCACAGGTTATGATGGGATAACCAGGGGAATGTCTCACGCTCCAGATCAGTGAACACAGCAGGGATTTGGCTGGGACTTCAGTGTTGTAACTTAGCTCACAGGGTCACTGTGGCCCTTCCACAGACCAGGATTTTCCCTTCCCTCTGACAACATCAGCTGTGACTTTGTTCTCTTTGCTCCAGATGGCTTGGATGATCCCCCCATTTCTTTTTCGTACACCTGTTAGCACACAGGGGAAGTCCTCAAGCTCTCCTGCCTCACAGACTCTCACCCACTGGCAGAGCTTTCTTGCCTGATTGATGGCAAGTTCCAGCAATCAGCACAAGTGTTCTTTATCCCCAAATCACTAAAACATGTAGAGGGGTCTATGTCTGTTTCATACATAACTCAGCCACTTTTGGAACAAATCTCATAATCCAGAGGATCATAGTCCCTGGTAAGTGGGTCCCTGGGGCACTGGCAATATGTTTTCCAGTGAAGCCTATCTGGCTATCAGGGAAGAGTCACCTGCCCTCTGCAAAGGGAGAGGGAAAATCAAAAACCCAGGACAGGAAATATGTTTCTGCTTGAAAACCACCAGCTTTTGCCTGTCCCCTTCACTCTTTCTATATCATTCTTTAGACTATACACTAACAATGAACAATGTGAAAGGAAATTAAGAAAAGAATTTCCATTCACATTAACATCAAAAGGAATAAAATATTTTGGAATAAGTTTAACCAAAACTGTCTAAGGGTTATACCTTGAAAACTAC